GCCCAGCTCATTTTGTCTGGCAGCAGAATCCCCAAGCCTTTTTTTGACTGGATCGATATTGTCGATCATTTCTTCACTGCTTGCCCTCAGATGAAAAAAAAGCATCGGGTTGACTTGCCGGTTTTGTAGCACATGATTAATGTAGCCAGCGTTAGAAAGGGCAAATGAAAGTCATCCTAATGCCAACTATGGCTAAATTGCTGTGCTTTTTTTGTGGTATGATCTGTGGTCACTGTTACTGTGCCGGGGCAAAGCCCAATAAATCATATTGGATATAGAACTAAATGCCAAGGCATGCAAAGCAGCAACCTTTGGCGCAGTTGAACAGAATTTGCACAGTCCAAGGCAACTGCGCTCTCTCAGGGCCCTTTTTGATCCTTCTTCGTGTTGTAGTTGTTTCTTTCAATTTTTGGCCGATGGGTCCGTGAGGGTCCCTGATGAATTTGCTTGATCGTTTCCCCACGCAGCTTCGTCGAGGGTGGCTTTGAGGGCGATCAGCTGGCGGGCGACTCGAAGCGCTCCGCAGTTCTTGGCTGAGACCTCACTGCTGTTGAGCGAGATCAACAATGGCGCCATCGATCCGGCGTCGGGAGTCTCCTCACGGGACCTGCAGCCACCACCGCCGTGGACGAAGATCAGTCCAGTCACTTGGTGGAATCGGTGGTCCAACGACTGCTCACGGTCAACATCCATGGCGCCCCACTACTGCGCAATCTTCCACCTCACGCTCAACAGCAAATGGTCAGTTCTGCCATCCACCGCCTGCGGCCCTACACACCAAACCCGGAGGACCCACGCACTGCCCTCCTGTCTCCAGTGTTGGCCGCGCCCAGAACTACCACATCACAGGCAGGAGGGCAGTGACTGTGGTGACGTGGGCAGGCGCCTCGCAACGCAATCGACCTGATCGGTCGAGCGCCCTCGGTGTGTCCTGACGGGCATCGGACCTTCCATTGTTGCAAGGAGAAGAAGTTCAATTTGCACTGGTCCAGTGCAAGTCGGGGCGAACTCCGCGACCGATGCTGGGAAAGCGCAGGCGTTCGAAACCTGGCCTCTGCGGCGCAGAAGATTGGAGGAGCCTTGGTCTCTCCTCGCTTAACGGACTCCGGGACTCCAGAGCTGGCTATGAGCTCACCATAGCGGCGAACTGTGGTGTGAAGGCTGGGAACCAGCTCCGGTGGGTCAACGGGCTGGCGCAGTTGGCCGACAGCCTCAGGAAGGCTGGAGCCCGCAAGACGACCCTCCACTTCTTCAGCCAGGGCGCAAGCATGGGGTTTACACTTGAGAGCTTGTTTACTTCCGTTTGCTTCCTGGTAGGGCGGGGCTCGAGCTGTCTGTTCGAAAACGGGCGTTTGTCCTTTGTGGCCCGGTCCGATCGTTGCGCTGTCAGCAGCGCTCTGTACTGTTACTGTCATATACATATATCGATTTATGAATCCCATGATAGGTCATACAGAAACCGTCCTAAATCTAAAGTTAAAGCAAAGCCAGAGGAACAAATCTGTGGTTGATTCCTTCTGAACTGCTTTGTTTGTTTTTTGGGGGAAAGCTCATCTCCAAAGTCAGGCCTCCCAGACTGCCAGACATTCGCGGCAAGCCAAAAAATGAGCGTGGGCAATCCGCCCCGTGCGACTATACAAAACCTCGTGGGGCATTTCCTGGGACCAAATACTGATTCAGAAAGATCATCACCGACTTGTGTGATCACCCTAAAAGGAAACTTTCGCCAGGTAGACTTGGCAGCAGCAGCAGCAGCAGCAAAGCAGGAAACGCATGGAGGAATGATATAGAATGACCTGTCAAAATTCACACAGTTTTGCCGGCGCAAACCTTGGTTTTCGGTCAATGCTGAGAGGGTTGCGCAGACGGAGCTAGTCAGCTAGCCTATTGCTTGCAAAAAGAGCAGCGCTATCACGAATATATATATATATATATATATATAAAGGTAACCGGTAGAAAAAAATATGACGTAGCTCCCCTCAAGAGGTGCAGCGCGCGAAACTCATCCCAATACAAAACTGCTAAAGGAAAAACTCAGCTAACATGCTAGTTTTTTGTCTTGACAAACATGCAAAAAAGAGATCGTTGCATTACTGATTGTGCATCATTGATTTTTTTCGAATGATATTGTAGGTTCTTGGTAGACCTGTGCTGAACATTTTTGGTCAACTTGTGCACGAGCAGCTTCTAGTAGCATGTGAAAAATAGAACTATATATTTGCGCCGCTGCTGTTGGCTGCTGGCTGCTGGTTGCTGGTTGTTGCTGCTGCTGGGCTGCTGGGCTGCTGGGCAGCTGCTAAGCTAAGCCCTATACCTTTCGTTCACCTCCTTCGCCCCATGTAAAGTGGACGTGCCTTTCATAATATATTTTTATTCTGAGGGGGCTCAATCCCTGGCCATCATCAGACGGATCTATTGGCTTTTGTCACCAACAATATTACTGTAGGCCGAATTGAGTCGAGACTTGGGAGACACAGAAAGGTTTATTTAAGCCGGGAAAAGTCATTCTAGAAGTTGTTGGGCTGCTCAAAGAGCAAACGACTATGCAGTTTCAACCTTTGCGGTTTTGTTGCATTTGTCACCGAGTGTGTTTTTGTTTTAGGTTCCATGTTTGATGAACACTTTGGAATCTGGCGCAGCAAACGGAAAGCTCACAAACTTGTAGGATACACTTGATGCCTCCAGCGCCATGTGTCTGGACGCAGTGGATTGTGAGAACCCCATGGTGCGGCGGGTTCTTCGTTCTGCGGCGAAAATTATGTCATGAGATTGTCAATTTCTTACTCAACCTTAGAGATCTTGTCTGCAGATAAAGCGTTCACCTTCCTCCGATTCTTTTTGCTCTGCCCTGCTTCGCTCTTAGAACCACTCCATGATGCTGCTTGTAGCTTTGTTGCCTGTGAGTTGAGGTCCGAAATGGAGGATATAGAGGACACGAGATCTCATGAATTACGGATAAACATTGACGCAATGCTGGGGATGTTCACTGATTTATTGTCATTTTTAGTTTTGGATACCATTTGGCTGAGCCCGGACTTGAACTTTGCTACCTTCAGACCTTCCTGGACCTTCTCATTCATAAGTCATAAGTTCATAAGTTAGATGATTTGGTTGTGAGGACGGTCATGGACTGCTTTCTCCAGCTTCTGACCTTCCAAGACCTTTGGTCAGGTGAGCACTGTGTGGGTATGGTTGCGTGTCAATGCTTAGCAATGCTGTTTTATGGAGGCAGAACAGTGGTGATGTTCGCTGGAGATTCGACTTTCGCATGTGTTGCAGGCCGGTCAAATGGCTTACAGTCATTAAAGCTGATTTAAAGCTGACAGGATGCGACCATCAAAAATAAGAAGTTTCTTTCTAGCTTTCTTGTGGACTTCCTGACCAACTAGCTGGCAAGCAAGGCGGAGGAGAAGGAACAACTTCTTGCTGGACTAGTGAGCTGGAGCTTGAGCAGAGTGTTGCTGAAGTGGAGTGAAGTGCGAGCGAAAGCGCCAAGAAGCAGCAGGAAGTCTCCGGAAGAGAAGATGTTCATCTCTTGAGATCTCCGGAAGCTCGAGGATGTGCATAGCAAGTGCGGGAAGACGCGCATCTTTGGCAAGGAGCCCCTCGACAAAAGTGCAAGACAGAGACCCCGGCTTGCTCTGTATGCGCAACCTGTCTCTTTTATTTCCGGGTTGTGAAAGAAACTGATCTTGCATTTGAGGCCCGTTTTGCCTGCAAAGCTATGTGGCTCAAGGAAGACACAGCTGCTTTAGACTGCTGGCTTTGCCTGCCCTGTTGGTTCCAAATAAAAGGAACCCAAGAAGCATACCATAATATGGTATGATTAATACCTATAGTTGATACCTATAAGAGCCTAAAATCCGAACAGCATCCAAGGGGTGCGATCAAATATGTGTTATCATCAACGCTTGTGTGTTTGGCAGCCAGCTTCAGAGCTTCACATTGCCCCAATGGCAGTGCCTCAGCTAAAAGCACGCACACACACACACACACTCTGACATTGGTTTGCTGTTAACTCAATTCCCACGTTGAGAAGGAAGGCGAGGGAAACGCAAGGTGAGTGAGTCAGCGAAAAAAGTATGGTTGAACATTGTTCACAAGTGGCCTCGAAGTCGATCTGTACAATCGATGCGGTGACGAGCTCAGCTGCAGGAAAAGGGTTTGTGGGAGGAAACATGTAATCACCATGAATCAAACCGAGCGGATTGGACAGCTTGTGCAAACGTTGGTCGCAGGTACACACCGAGACGTCTCCCAGTGCTTCCCCTCCAGCGATTTAGCTTCGTTGGACAAGGTTCATCGCTGGAGGCCTTGCCCCCCTGCAATTATGGTGAAAAAGAAAGGCGGAGCCCTTAGGAACAGGGGGTGACACACACAGGTAGCCGAAGTCGGCGCAGGCACATGAAAAGGTGGCATCGCCGGCTTTTTCTCAAAAAACGCCGGCGTGCAGTTGGGTCATGTCCTTTTTGGACGTACAGCCGGATAAGCTCTTCAGCCGCTGCCGCTGCGTTATTGGGTGGAAAGGTGTATGTGTATATTGCATGGAGTCTGGAAGCTAAGCCGGAAATGTTAAAGCCCAGGAGGTGAAAGTCGTCCACTGTTTCCAGCTCGACTGGATCACCAAGAAAGTTGTGGTGAATGAGAGTCTGTATGGCTGGGTGGGAGAGGAAGTGTTCGTTGTGCACGATGAAACGGTTGTTGACGTATCTGTAGTAGGTGAAGTGGAGGGCTGTGTGCTGGAGAAGGTTGTTGTGGAGCTGGTGCCAGGAGTGTTCAATAAGGGTGATTGCAACGTTGCAAAGGGCAGGAGAGAGTTGGGAGCCAATCCCAGCTCCTCGGATTTGTTTGTAAGTGTTGTTACATGCCCGGAAAATGCAAGTGTTGAGTGCAAAGGCCACAATAGTAGTGATGTCGGATGTGTGGAGGGTACGTTGCGTAGGATGCTTGGTGTCGTGTCTGCCAACATGGGAATGATGGAAAGGGTTGCCTGTGGCTGTTGTGTCCACGGTCAAGGTGTGTGTAGCATGTTGGAGCTGCCATTGTTGGATCAGGGAATGGACTGCATCGATGAGGCGGTGTTGAGGTACCGAGTTGAAGAAGCCGACGTGGTCATTGTTGGTCGCGTGGAGGTGGATATCTGCTGGTGTTTGGGTGAGGTAGCCATGGAAGTGGCGCCATAGTTGCGGGATGGACAGTTAAGTTGTCCTGGATGTTGTGGGAAAAGGTGTTGTAGAATGATGTCAATGTCAAGCGCTCGACTGGTGGTGCGTAAGAGGTTGCCGCTCAAAGAGTGGAAGTAAGATATAATGGTGCGTCCTTTTTGCCACTGCTTCTTGGCCTTGAGGTGAACGATACTGTATGGGATGGTGAAGTCTTTGCGGAAGCCCCATTTGTATCGAGTGCGGAGGCTGGCCGGTATGGTGGCTGCAAGGTGGTCGTGGACGTTGGATGAGTGGAGGTGTGGTAGGGGTCCAAAAAGTTCTGGAGCCTGCCACGTGTTGAGTGGTCCTGTAAAGTATTGATGAGGGCAAAAGACTCGGAGCTGTTGGAGCTCGTGATCAGCATGGTGGAGTACCACTTGGTCACCTAGGTATTCTTGGAGTTGGCGGAGAAGGCGAGCTGTAAAGCGCGGGTGATGCTTGAGGTGTGCAGTGTGGAGTCGCCATTGGTGTTGGAGGAAGGGTTCCAAGTGCTGGCTGAGCGAGGTAGGGAGTCCTTGCAAACAGAGCCATTTGGTGAAAGCCGTTTGGAACGTGAGGAAGTAGCGGGCTTTGCTGGGATAGAAGGTGCTGCTCATATTGGCGTCAAGGAAAATGCGGAGGTGTGGTGGTATAATGTCCTTTGGTCCAAAGTGAGAATGTAGTGGTCGTTTGTGGTAGCTGTGGTTGGTTCAAGAAGAAGGGACTTGAGATGAGAGCAAGCACACGGGAGGTCGCTGGGGTCAGGAGGTGTGTGCAAGGTGTCTTCCCACGCGCGATGATTGTGTAGTTGTGCCCGGAGTGTCTTGTGGGCAGCTTCGCGCAGGCGATGTGTGGGGAGGTGTAGTGGGATGGCTAAATGCTTGTGTTGTTGGATGGTGGTTTGTAGCCATTGTTGGCAATGTTTGATGAAGTCGTCGTGAGCCAGGAATGGTACTGTAAGTGGAATGTTCGGCTTGGGAGGAGTCAAGTTGTGGTATTGGAGCGCTTTGTTGATGATGCGCAGGGCTCTGCTACGACCTGGCTCTTCAAGATTGGAAGCCATACGTCGGATGGCGTAAAATTGAAGATGTGTACCATCTCTGGTGTGGTGGAGGTCGCGCGTGTCGCTGGTGGTGGGAAGCTGCGGGTTGCTTTTTGCACAAGGCTGGGAATGGTGATGCAGTGGTATTGGTAAATATCGTGGGCGTTGGCAGTGTCGTTCCATTTGATGTGAGTGAATTGTCGGAAATCTGAGAGGTCTTTGTAAGTAAGGCCGCTGTCGAGCAACAGGGTGGCAATGTAAGTGTGTTGCGGTTTGTTGGGTGCGTCGAGCTGATCGGCATGATAATCAAGCCAAAGTTCCAGTTGTTCTTGTGGGGTGCGTTGTTGAAATTGTGGAGATGGTCGCCATGGTTTGGTAGGTCGCCGTAGGGCGGGAATGTTGGGATAGCTGGTGTGCGACTGGTTCGTGACAGCATCTTGTTGTAGTGAGTCGTTGTTGGGTAGAAGAGAAATGGGTGGCCTGGAGCGGCTGCGTGAGCGGCTGTAGGAGTAGGTGGAGGAAGGTGAGCGCGGGCGGTGGTGTCGTGTTGATTGATGTCCGTGAGAGGCATCTTGTTGGGTTGTTGAGCGTGTGGTGCTGCGGCGACGAGTGCGCCTACCGCGAGTGTGATGGCGATGGCGGCGACGATGAGGTTGGCGGTGGCTGCTGCTTTGGTGATTGAGAGCGTTGGATGCTGGAAGTTGGTGTGTTGCGGTGGTCTGTGGGCGAGCTGGTGGTGGATCGGAGTTGTGTGTGCCCATAGGATTGTCGGATGGATTGGAAGCTGCTGCGGCAGAAGGTGGTGGTGGGTGCGAAAGAGGATTTGGAGAGGTTTGCTCAGTGGTAGGGCCAGGGCGGTCTGCTTGTGTTGAGGGTGCTGTAGAGGTTGGCGATTCAAGGCCAGGAGTGGCTGCGGTGGGAAGTAATGGTGGTGCTGCAGCAGGCAAAGGGTGAGGAGGACGTGAATTGGCGGCCGCGGGAGTCTGGCTTGGCTGAATTGGGCCTGGTGGAGCATGACCCGGTTGAGTGACTGGCGGAAAAACCGAAAAGGGTTGCCAGACTCCCTGGCTATAGTCCCATTGCATTGGTGCTGGTTGGCATGTTTGCGGTGGAGCTGGTTGGGTGTGAGGCGCTGGTGGTGGTGTGGTTGTGGGGAAATCATGGTAGGAGGTTGTGATGGTGAAGATTCCGGCGGAGGTAGTGAGTAGGAAAATGGAATCGTGTGGTGATGCGGTAGCTGAGGTACTAGCTGTGGTGGTGGTTGGAAGTGTGGGTTGCCATGTTGGCTGTGGCATAGGCGGCAATGTAGGTGGTATGTGTGGAATCATGGGAGGTATATGTGTGGTTGCGTCTGTTGGATGGGAAATGTGTGGGCTGTGGTAGGTGGTGGTTGATGAGTCCAGTATGGGTATGGCCATGGATACTGCATTGGCTCGATGTTGGTGATAGTCGAAGTTCCACTCAAAATGTTATAGCTTCAAAGGTGACGGCTGCTCAATGGCACCAGCACGGCGCGGCAGCTGCTGGAAGTCTCCTGTACTTGTACCCGTGGAGTGAAATCGTGAGATGGTGAAGTAGTGGAATGTCATACCTGAAAATGAGATGGAGGATGAAGAGCGTGAAACAGGTGATTCATGGTGGAAAAGTGAAATGTCATGTCCTGTACATGGTGGAAGGCGAAAGGTTTTGGTACATCCTTGAAATTGAAAGTGCTGCTGCAATGAATTCGAAGGAGTAACTCTTTCATGCATGTCGCTATGAAATCCGAAAGTGCAGAAATCCGATTGGGCAGAAGTCCACAACTCCGTAAAAAGCCCGGCGGCCTTTAATCCTGTTAATTCAGTATTGACATGGAAGTAGTGAAAGTGATCCACGATGAAAGGACGATAATTCAGGAAAACGATTTCCGGTATGAAAGCAGCGCCTCCCTGCGGAGGATCACACCCAGCACCCAAGTGGGACGGCTGAGCGGTTCACACTCTGACATTGGTTTTCAGTTAGCTCAACTCCCAGGAGAAAACGAAGGAGGGAAACGCAAGGTGAAAAAGTCGGCGCAATTGTATTGTTGAACAAAGTTTGACGCATGACTGCAGAACTCGGCCGCGGTGAACTCAGTGCAGAGAAAAGGTTTAGGGGAAGGTATCGCGAGGAAAAACCATGAATCAAACCGAGAAAAGTAGAGTCACGGCGTGTGCAAAAGTTCATTGAGCAGGTACACAATGCGGCGTCCCGCGTTGCTTCACCACGATCTGACAGCGTCTTCGTTGGGCAATGTCTGTCAGTCGTGCATTGCCCCCTGCTTTCGCGATGGAAACAGAAAGAGACGCGGTACCCTTAGGAACAGGGGTTGACGCACACACACACACACACACGCCCCCCTCGAGGGGAGGCGAGAAGCACTAAGGTCAGGGCAAATGCGTTAGTGTGCGCGCAGTAAGACAAAAGAGCGAAGACATGAAAAGGAGACAAGACGGGGCAAAGGTGTGTGTGTGTGTGGTTGCAATGAAAAGGAACCAAGTGCACAGGGACAACCGATGACAACCCACCTCATCGAAAAGACCTGGGCGACCTGATACCTGAGTTGAAAGTAGGCTGTGCGTGTACATACTAAGGGCCGAGCCGTGTGTACGCAAACGAAGGAAGAGATGAGGTGACGGGACATGAAGCAAGGGAAGACACGAAGGAAAAGAAGAGAAAGAAGGTGTGTGAAGGGGAAACACGATGAGAAAAGGGGAACCAAATGAAGGGGACAGAAACCGATGAAAGCCAAACCTCATTAAGAACCTATCCTATTGCAAAGACCACTTTTGAGTGTAAGTGCACTGTGCGCGAGGAAGGGAGGGGTAGGGAGAGAAGAGAGAACAGAAGGAGAAGACGACGGTGTTCCCAGCTACGGCACAAGCGTCCAAGGACACCCTGTGACTCCAAGGGTTACACACACACACACACACACACTTGTGCACAGACGCATGCCAAAATTCAATCTGAGGCATGCGACAGAAGACAACTTCTTGCTGCGCGCCGTGCTGGCAGTTGTTCAGAGGAACTGGTCTCAGACGGACAACGGACAATGTAGAATGATTCATGGCCATATCGTGACCGTCATGCGAGTTCGTCCTGGGACAGGCCGAGATCCTACCCAAAACGCGCACTGTGCACGAATTGTTACAGAGCCAACGTGACTTGCGCTTGCCCTAGGTTGTTTTCAGAGCAGGGTCGTGCTTACATATCCTGGTTAAGTTTTGCGTGCACGTCATATGATTTAGCTAAGGGTGGTGGGCTGTGAGCCCTTGGCTACCAAAAAAGTTGCTCTTGCCTAAGACTTCGTGCCAAGCGCATTCCATGAAAGTCGAGGATGAATTTGTTGGCACGAGGCAGCTACGAATCCGGACCATGCTAAGGCAATCCCCAGAAACTTCAATCAGCAAACAAAAATGCAATTTTGCAATAATAATGTTCCAACGAAAAATACCGCATTTCAAACACTTCAATAAAACTGTATCCGAGCACCTTGCCAGGGGATGCATACTCCGCCGCGACAAAGCACTCGGAAGATGATAAGCGGAGTGACTACTACTCTTGCAGAGACTCCTGAAAAACCGAGGCATCCCAGGCACCACTCTCAGACTCAGCAAACCCATCAGAAAAGCAGTTGGCCCGATGACTTTCCCAAGAACGTGCACCAGCAAAGTCAGATGAATGCAGACGCTATGGAGTTCATGCCTGGATCTTGCGTCATGCCTCCGTTTATACCATCGGTGAACCACAAGTTTTGGGTTCCATCTATGCCTGTGCCTATGCCTATGCCACCAATGCTTTGCTCTATGGAGATGCACGGAACAGCATTGGATGAGATATCCGGTCCGCTGGGCATGGACAATGTCTGGGAGCTATCTACTCTGTCAACTTATTTGACTGCATCAGAGTCTTCTCCAAAAGACGAGGTGGTAGACGATGACACGGTGGAAGATTTGGCTGAAGGGCGTTTGCTGAAGCTGACTTCTTGCTTGCTCAGGATTTTGATGCAACCTTCAGTTTTGCAGACATCAGACTTGATGAAGATCATCGAACATCAACTAGGAGAAGTTCATGGATCTGGCCCTTGGCTTCAACGTGACTTGAAAAAGGTCTGTTTCAGCTGTTCGGATCTGGCTTTGTTGGACACCAGACTCTGTGCGTTGCTGCAGAGGCTCCCGCCTGAGGTTTTGCTGAAACTTCCAAAGCAATGCAAGCTGAATCTCAGCTGGGACCACACTGGGACAAAGTGGAGCTTCAAGGAGCCACCTGAGCTTCGCAGACTTATTCGAAAACAGACTTCCAGATCTTCCAGCCACTTCACCATTACATCTCAAAGGTTCTGCATGTCAGTACAGCTGGACCAAATAAGGTTGAAAGGTGGAGTAGCATGTCTTCATGGCTTGGATTCAACCAATCCGGAAGTGGCAGCTACCCTTACCGGGAAGGGGTATGGTAGATGCTGCGCACAGGGGGATACCGAAGCCACCACGATCATTTGGGACAGAGGCCTTTGGACTTTCTGTGGAAGTCACGAGAGTGGTTCCTTCCTGGCCGTGGATCTAAAGTCAAAAGAGAAGGTTGTCCGAGTGGCTGGCATCAGGCCGAGCCTTGAGCACTGCTGCGACGCCAGCTTTGGTGACTTTCTTCGGGACGATTGCTTGCCTGTGGTGGTTTGTGCAGACCTGTCCCTTGTTGGTGGGACTTCATCTGCTGGACTTGTGCCTGTGCTTTTGGGTCTTCACTCCGCCATGTTCGAGATTCTCGGGCACGAAGTTTCAGTGCCACAGCCAGGCACAGGTGCCTTTCCGCAACCAAGTGGAATCTTTTTCCGAGGTGTAGCCCCTGTAGCAGCTCTCTCAGGCTACACTGAAGGATACCTTGCAACTTGCGATCCCGGCATGCTGAATTTTCAGACGAACTTTCCGGAAGGGCAAGCATTTCTTCTGGCTGAGTTCAGCTGGGGTGCAAGTGAACCTAACACTCTTGGGGGTTGAGGCCTTCAACCCCTGACGCATTCTGCTTGCAAGATCGCAATGTAATGGCAGGATTAATTGCGATGAGAGTTCTTGTGGAGCAGAGCTGAGAGGCTTCTGAGGCCAGTAGAACCATGCATATTCATGGAAACTCAGGTTTCACTTACCTAGACTCGTACAGAGGAATGTGCCACCTGCTGCTGAGGGAAGGGCCAGTGTGCGTCTCCTTGTCAAAGCGGATGTTTTGTGTTCAGCAGTGTTCAGCAGTGTTCATTTCGCACTGGCCCAATAATTGGCAGGACTGGCAGGTCATGCGAAGCTTGGGGTCAAAAAGTATCTACTTGGCCGAGCAAACGCACACAGACGCACTTTAGGCCCCACAAGCAACCACGCGTTGCTTTTCATTCCGCATCCAAGAGCTGTGCGCCTTGCTCCGCACGGTCACTCTGGTTCCAGGGTAGGGCGAAACACTCTGAATGCACAAGTCATAGCAGTGTCATGGCCGCTGGGCCCCAAGGCCCCAGTTCCATTGAGTTTCTTTGATCAATTACTTGGTCCTAGACTTCGACGCTTCGATATCCTTGAGTTGGATCTGAGGAAGGCAAAGTACGGGTGCTGCACTTGCTGTGGCTCCGGCAATTATTGTTGCACAATCATTGTAAAAGGAAAGCGCTGCAGAATGCTGTTTTCCTGCTGCTGCAGTTGCAAGTGCATCATTACCATCGAGCTTTTTGGACTTGCTCGTGGAATGCCAGGTGCAAGCACGAGAAGTCGCGAAATCCTGTCTCGAGGCGGACCAAGGAATCAACAGCAGGTGTAGGTTCCTTAGATTGTTTGCTTGGATTCTCGGCTTTCAGGTTTGACTGTAGACTTGGAATGACTTGGACAAGACTTTCTTCCGGGATCACAATGAAGGAGACCTGGTTTTTCCTCTAATAAAGTTCTTTCCCTTTTTGGTACTTCGTGCCGTGCAATTTCCAAGGTGTCTGTGGAATCTGCACACGGAGAGCTAAAAGCAATTCTGGGGAGGCTCGAAGGCAAATCGGGCCAGGAGACCTCTTGCATAGACTGCTGTATGAAAGCCTAGAAAACAAAGGTCATGAAAGCCGACCTTCGCATTATATACGTGCTTGATAGATCTTCATAGCGCGCATAAAGGCAGGCCATCCGTGTGAGTTTTATTGAGCTAATGGTACTATTTCAAAACCGCAAGTCTTGAGACCGGGAAGTGGAAAGGAGTTGGTGGATGCCTTCGCCAAAGAAGCGCAACTTCGCAGCGATTGCGGTTCCTTTGCTCAGGCCAGAGATGATTTTAATCAAAGAGAAGAATCGAAAGATGAGAGCATAAGGGAGCAATCTAGTGTTCAATTCACTTGCCATTGTTGGTGCCTGATTTGTTTCAAGAAAGGACGTTGAAGCTTCCTGTGCAGGGTGGTGACTTGGGATTCTTCGGGCCAAGTGAGATGCAAAAGGAGTTTGAGGAGCCGGCTGTGGCCAGACTTGCTCACACTCATTGCACATCATCACACCTACAACACCTCTCAAAGTGTCCAGCCTCGCTTGAGCTATAGCCTAGCTAGCTGCTAGTGAAATTTTGGTTAAAAGAATGGAACCAAACTCATGCGTTGTTCCTACTAGCAATGGCATCCAACCTACTAGCAATGGGCCAGCAACCTACTAGCGATGGCCTCCAATGAGCCCAACGATGTGATGCACTTAGCCAGGATGCCTCCTTTGCTCTTGATGTTGGGCAGATGAGTGGCATTGTGGATTCCCAGAGCGGCAGTCATATAATATTGCGTCCGCAGCTCAACCATTCCAAGACAGGAGATTGGACATGCGGCGTTTGCAGCGTGCATCAATATTTCAATATGATGAAGGTTCTTGTTTTTGGTAGTTCAATATCTGTGCAAATGATGTCGCGACAATTTGAAGTCTTGATTCTGAATCGCAGGGATAGCCTGAGAGAGCCAGCATGAAGATCAGCAGCAAGCAGCGCGAGACGTATGCTGTAGTTGCAAGACTGTGGACTGCGCAAAACACGTGGCCGAATCGGGGAAGTCAATTATTTAGCTTGTGGGGAGTGTGAGACTGTCATACCGAGTCATACCTGATTATGTGCAACTTTGAATTGCTTTGGTTCAAACAGGGTGCCGATTCTAATGAATCCACTTTTCACCAATCACATCATTTTGGCCAATTCACTTGTCTCCATATCCAGGCTGGTGACACTTGAATTCCATCAATTCATGCCGCTCCTTCAACTCCTCTTTTTGTGCAGGTATCCATGATAATGCATTGGCGTGCGGTGCTTTGTTGCCGCACCTGATTGTCAACAAGTTCTGTTCTGTTTGACAAAGGTGTTTGTTTGTTTCTTTTCTGTGCTTGCTTTGAGAATTGTTGTGCACATTGCCACTTGTCACTGTGCAATTAAGTTCTGTTTAGCTCAGAGGTTCGTTCCTGTGGCTGTGCTCGCCTCAAATTGATCAAATTGCACTGGAGACACCAAATCGCCAGTCATGGAAGTTATAAGTGTTCGTTTGGTTCACTCATTGTTTCAATTTTGTTCAGCGAATTGGGGTGAACAGGTTTCCTTTGTTGCCCACCTTCTACTGCAAATGCCTCAGCCGGGCACAGCCAAGTGACAGTCAAGCGTCAGATGCATCAGTCAGACTTTGGTATAGTCTATATTTAATATACAGTATTTGTTTTCACTTCAGTGCACCTCCAGCGACTGAACTTAGAGCCGGATCGCCGGATCACTCGCATTTTTGGTTCTCTCCAAGTGGACAGTGGCTCCACCGACGAAGCGGCTGCAGTGGGCTGACGAATAGCAGATCTTAGTGACGCTGCTTGAACTGATTTGAACTTTATGCCTGCCACCAACAAAGCCCAAGGCAGTAAGACAGTAGCGGAGTCTCTTTTTTCCACTTCAGTGCGCCTCGATGTGTTTCACTCACTCACAGGGTACCCTTTTGTTCGAGCCGATAATATCAGTGGTATGATTTCGTCAAAAAATAGAACTGAAAGTGTCGTGTTTTCTTGTTTGAATAAGCCCAAGCTGCCCAAGCTCTGACATGCTTGACCGTATTTCCTTGATGAAGCAGCTACTCGTAACTGGCTGCCCAAGTTCATGATGCGACATGGTGGAAGAGTAGATCAGGCCACTTAAAAGCGCACAACACAGCCCTGTCACAGCCGATGCAAGCATGCTAACCGCCTTCCTTTGAGAATATCATATAGAACTGCCTGCACCCCTGCCGTTTTTGTTTAAGCAATTGTTTCGGCGGCTTACACGTTTCTTCGGATATGAATGACTTCTGAAAATCCAGCCAAGGGCATGCAAATGCGTGCGAGGGCTGTGTTGTGTCTAGGCGAAACCCAATCTGCGGTCTTCGCTGCGGACGGCAAGGCCAGATAGCATGTTTCATTCTGGGAGAGGCTTCAAGGACCTTGTTTTTTAATGGTTGAAACCCTTTAAAGTGAAGGTTCACATGGACGACAAGAGAGGCTTCAAACCGTGGATCCGGCGACAGGCATCCATGCAAGCAGAAATGTCAAGCCGAAGACGACAATTGTTTGTGCACTTTTCTTCTTACACACAAACAACAACAAGAATAAACAAACACAATTTGCAGGATGGAGCCGCAATGGAGCTTGAAGAGCTGCGTTTGGGCCCTACTCGTAGGAATTTGGACGAGGAACGCTTCAAAATTTACAGGTTGACAGATTTTTTTTGCTCTTGAAAGGAATGCGCATGTTTTGTAATGTGTGTGGGTTTTGGGGAGGCGGGGTTGCGAACATAGGATTGGAGCATAGCTTGGATACTTCTGTCTTTGTCTTTGGTTATTTGGCGGATTCTTTGCTCGGTGCTATTCTTCATAAAACAACGAGTGGTCGTCAACTCCATGCTTTATTTAGCATCCTTTCGACGACACGGCTTCCCAAAAAAGGAGGCTTAAGGAATGATTGTCATCTCCTCCCTCCGCTCCGCGACTTTGATCCCCCCTCGGGCTAAAGCACAAAGCTTCACCCAAAAAGGTGTCTCCCAAAAGTCTGCAAAGGCGACCACGAAAGCGCGCAAACCCGCAGAATCACACAGAGGAAAGGGACAAAGACGCCCAAACATCAAAAAAACAAGAAAGCAAAGAAGAAACAGAAACGCAAACAAAAGAAAACTAAGACGAAGGAGACCCCCCCACCAAAGCGTCCAAGTTGATCTATGATGAGACGGTCTTGGGACCAGCAAGGTTTCAGAAAAGGGAGCTTTGCTCAATGGTTTCCTTATTCTCAAAAGTGTCCAGGCAAGAGGATGCATGTCAAAACTGGTGCGTTTGGAGTAATTACTGGTGCCCAAACCCTATAAAAACATCCAATCTGGACCTTTTTGGCAAAGTGCTTGAACATGTAGTATTTATGCTACATATAGGGTGCCCATTTATATAAGGGTACATAGAAGGGTTCAACATGTTCATTGATGAAAAACACTTTCGTCCATCCTGCTCAAAGTTCTCCACAGGTGAAAACCAAGCGCCGCAGGCTGCGTTTGGTGACACAATTCAGACTCGACTCTGAAAGCATGTTGCTTAGTTGCAGGCCGTCTTTGGGGATCCAAAGGTATCACCTGCTTTGGCCAAGGCATGGGTGGCATGCGCGGCATGGGTGTTGTTGGCAATGTAACAAGCTGCTCAGCTGCTCAGGCAATGCTCTCTGCCGAAACTCACAAGTCCGGCACCCTGCACCTTGGTAGAAATGTTTGAACACTTTACTCTATGCATGGATTCTCTGGTCTGGTGCAGCAAACCTTGTCTTCCAGCTCATGGTATAGAATCATTCTATTGATGTCACTTCGGCAGATCTGACTGAGGGCAGGCTTGCAGACTGCTCTTGTAGCAGAACAGGCCACTTATTTTGACTTCATTTCTACCTCAATATCCTTAGTCTTGAAGGCTTCGGCTTCAACAGCATCTGCACTGCTGGTGATCTCCGAATTTACGTTTTTCTTGCCGGGTGCCTACAGTGTAGCTGGCGATAGTCATGGTTAAACTGCTTGACGAGTTTGATTCGCTGAGTGAGGATGTGATGCATGTGTGGTCCCGTTTGTGGATATTATGTTTGTTGCATGAGTCCAGGATGATGTTGTACTTGCTGAATCACAAAGATGTCAATGTTTGATGCTCAGACGTGTTTAATCTAGAGAGAACAGAGAGGAACAAGAAGAAGGTAAGCGCCTTGAAACATGGGGGCCGTATAAAACGAGCCTGGCCTTACCTTCATGTTCAATCTAGTTCTTCTCCATGTTTTTGTTTGGCCAGCATTTGGGTCTCCAAGGTGAAGCGACTTTCTTGGTCGACTTTGCACAGCTCTGTTGCCATTTTTATCAGCATGCTTTTATTCATGTCGACAAAGTCTCTTTGGATCCTCATGGCTGCTTGGATTCTTTGTACGACATGCTATCAGCAGACTGTTCTTCTCTCACTTCTGGACATGAGAAGCGTTGCAACGCGCAGTTGCCACTTGTTGCCGCTTCGCCAAAGCACAAAATCGGAAGCAGATCATGCAGATCTGAGGCCGGACATACTTTGGATGGCACCCCAGCTGGTGTTGCCTTGAGCTGGACTCGCTATGTGGTGGTTTGGATCCTTGTATCATGCTTAGCTGGACACGCAAAGGGTGAAAGCCATCAGAATCTGGAAGGTGACAGCACAAACCAGTTCAAAACTTTGGACAGCACCAACCTGCAGGGCCCTGTCATACTTCTTCGCCGTGGCGTAGATGATGAATCAAGAGAAGTCAGGGCTTTGGCCAATGCTGACTAGCAGCTTTCTGTTTGACTTTCTCGTCAACATGGAAGTCTCCTTGCACAGCTCTTTTTGTGCAAAGTCTGAGGCCTGGTGCTCCATTGTCCAATGGTTTACAGCCTTTTGCGGCGCAGATGCTTTTGGTGAATTGATGATGCAGTGGCCCCACTATGAAGTGACGGATTTGATTTCATGCTTAGTCATAGCAGCTACATCACAGGAAATAGCCTCAACAGTTATGATAGCTATGCCAACTGATTGCTGTGAGGACAAGCGTCTTCTCAGCATCAGTTGGTGCTCAGTTTGGTGGTGTCAGCCCGGCAAGAGTTCTCCCAGTGCTTTTGTTGTCACATTGCTTGAGTTCTAAACTGCCTCAAACAACATGCAATTATACTGCAACTGCAACAGGCAAACTGATTTATGACCAACATGGTGCTGTCCGGGTGCATGTTAACGCATTAGTTGGATTATTTAAGAGTCGTTTTCCTCCTTTACGTAGGTTTCCTCCATCTCGCAGTCTGTCCAGATTCCGCCCGGTTATAGAAAAGAGCTGGTTTGCTAGTCCAGCGTAAGAAGCGCAAGCTGGTGCCCATTACATTACACTTTGCTTCAACCCTCCGCTCGCGCTGTTTTCCACAAAGTACTTGTACACATATCGACCATCTGGAGATGAGGAGTGAACTGAAAGCGTCGAAACAGCGAGAACTGTAAATTTATACTTTAAACAGTTAAGATAATGTGTCTTTTCTTTCTGGGGGGAGGTAGGCCGCTAAGCAAGCAAAGGAGCTAAACTACCAGCAACAGGTGGCTACTAGCAATCGGATGCAGGAAAGCTCACGCTTCGTCAAGGAAGCCTAAAGGCAGCGCGGGGACTTTCCTGGAAGAAGCACTCGCATTGTCTATGTGGTTGCTAGATTTTTAGGGAAACTTAACTAATAGCTTCTTGTTACTATATAGAGGTGAAACGATTCCCAGTTAAACGATTCCCAAGGTTCCTAGATTTTGGGGAAGTCTTCGAGCCTAACCGAAGCGATCTGGAAGTGCATGACATGTGCACTTGAAGTTCTTGGCTTAGCAGCATACCGCATACCAGCAGTGGAATCTAATGGATTCTATCATGTGAAACGATTTGTGGGGTTCTGCGCTTAGGAGCTTGCCACACAATGGAAGTGGAACATGTTGCAGGTTCGCCAAGATGGCCAATCCCAGTATCCTGTGTCCGGACTCGCTTCGTTGGGCATAGTTAACCAAGCACGCTACACCCCCTGCTGCATGTTTGTATGTGAATCAGTTGGTTGAACTCATCACCACAGGAACCACAGGAAACCATTGTATCGTCCAATATCACCAAACGGGCATATGATTAGAAAAGCCTACATGCAGCTAGCATGTTGCACACAATAGTCTTTCCACTTTCCAGGAGAGCACGGAACAATTAAGTGCAGCGCCTAGCAACGAACTCCCTAGTTAAAGGGCTTCGCCGCTGAGGTATGCCCGTTTGGGCTCCTTCGGGCAGGCAGCACACCCAACCAGAGGCGCTGTGAAACAACAAATTTACCTGAACGGGGCGATGCAACGGGGCGACGGATCCCCATCAACCAGTCAGCACGAACAGGGAGAAGGTCGAGCAACGACGTTTGACGATGCACCCTGGTGCTCCTTGCCACCAGTCCATCAACTCTCCGGAAACGTCGTGGCACAGCTAAACTTGCTAAGCCAATCACTATCGCTTCTTCATGTCGTTCAGCAGATTATCCGGCAACTAGCCCTGATAGAGCTTCAAGCTATACTGCCCATCGGACCGGCCATGCTGTTTTGCCTTTGTCCATCTGGAAGCCACGTAGAAGCGACCGTGGACCAGTGCTTTGTGTCGGTGACCTGTAGAGAGATAGTGGAAACTAGAATAGCAGGGCACCTGGGTGACATGCCCAAGGGGCTCCACTGATAGTAAGCAAGAGAAAGCACATTCGCTGTCACGTTCCTCCATGGCCTGCTGGAAGCGAAGCGACATCGGCGTAAGCTTCCCACTCCCTCACCTTCGAACCAGCCAAATAGCGTGCAACCTGTTGACTGTGGCTGACTTTGGAGCAACACTACGGAAACCATCCATGCCAATGTGCAAACTGTTCCTTCATGTTCCTTCTATCTCTTTCTGCCATGTGCTGCATCGGCAATAGGAATTTCATGGAACTTCCTGATAGAGTAAACACCTCGTTCTTCACACTTGGTCAAAACGTTGGTCCATCTCGTTAATATCGAGATTGTGTTGGACGAGGGTTTTGGCTGACCTGCAGGGGTAATGATTTTTTCCGCTGGGTTCACGGTTCTATCGCATCTCATGGTAACTAGAGCCTGGCCTATGGCAATCGATGCTTAACTTGATGACGTAGATTTGAATTAATGGAGTTAAGGAATTCAGACTTGAAGTTCGGGTTTGCATGTTTTACACAGAAGCACCTTCCAAGCAAAGCTGCATGTAGCTCAAAGTTCTACTTGAGAGCGCAAACAAGTTGGCCGGGAAATTTGTGCCGGTCTTGCAAGTGGTTTCCGGAAGCGTTGCCAGTTCATCCTGTGTTGCTTCATCATTTGGCTACAATGCTTCGGTGCATGCTGGGCTCGGCACTTTGTTGTGGCCCGGCCCAATTACTTCGTCTACGCAGCGTGTGCGCAACGTGGAGATGACAGCATATAGCTAATGTTCACCTTTGATTAATACATGGTGGACCCCCGCGCATGAAAACACCTTAAATGAAGTTTATCAGTTTATCCCCAGCTTCCCAAAAGAAAATGACATGGAATTAGTATTGGCATTGGGGAGAGGATCCCGTGGGGTCATCAGTGTTTGGGCCACCTACTTTGTTTTGTGCAGTGGGCTGGGTGGGGTAATGAACTGCGTTGTCGACGTCATTCCCTGCATGCCAGGAACGAACTTTGTTTCCGTTTTTGCGTTTCGATGCACTTCGTTCGACTATTGTGTTTTTTGCTCGGAGGCACCATGGCTTGTGAGGACGTCGCTGTTATTTAGAGTGTAAAATGCACCATCTCTTTTTTTCATGGCGAGACGTATGGTTTTAGCACATGGAAAAGCCCTTTGCCATGGGGCCTGGGTTTGGGTTTTCTATAAATTTTAGGTAATTTTATACAAGTACAATCAAAACCACCAAAAACACTGATAAGTGTGCATAAGGGAGTAAAAACACTTAAGAAAAAAACTTGGGAAAACCAAATTATCCCGGCAAGAGACCCCAAACTGTGTGTGTGAGGTATATAAGCAGAAAGTCTAGGGATGTAGACGCATTGGGGTCAAGAGAGGTGATGGTGGTGATGAAGGTGGGGATCGTGGTGACGGTGGCGGTGGTGGTGAGTGTGAGAGTGAGAGTGAGAGTGAGTGTGAGTGTGAGTGAGACTGAGACTGAGACTGAGACTGAGACTGCGAGCGAGAGAGCGAGAGAGCGAGTGAGGGAGGGAGTGAGTGAGTGAGTGAGTGAGTGTGTGTGACCTGTTTCCAAGGTTTTGCGTTTCACGTCTCATTTGCATAATTCACTTCGAGTGGAGCGACGAGCACCAGCAGGGGGGTAGTGGACCACTATCACTCACTGCCCAACGAGGACAGTGATAGTTCGGTCGTGATATGACTCCGGGACGCCGGAGTCACGTACCTGCATTTTTTAATGAAAGGGCTAATGCATCCTGTTGAAACATTCAAGTGAGCGGACTCTTCACTCCATGCTGTTGAATCAAGTCAAGTGCTGCGTATTCATTTAAAGGGCTAATGCACGGAGAGACCACCACTGACTTCGCTCTTGCGAGCATCCATCTAAGTGTGTGTGTCGCCACAGAGTCCCACTGCGGGCTGTGGTGTGATCCCCACCGAGGGGCGCAGCATGTGCATAGACCCAGATCCTGGGGGAATCGCACTGACTCCTCCTCCCAATCGCCGCCGAGCTACAGATACACACGGCACTCTGCACATTTTCGCATGTCAGGCGACAGAGGAAGGCAACTTACTCCATTTGCTGCAGACTTGTCGCTTCCGCCCGAGTACCCAGCATGACTCTGACGCCACGGGCTTTTACGCCCAGGGTTTTGAAACCTCCGGCAGCGTCGCCCATGACATGTGGCACACTGCACAGGTCATCGACAAGACCTACCACCTCGACAAGAACAGAGCGGGCGTCGTCCTGCATTGTATTGCATGGAGAACGGGCAAATAGTTTCTTCAAGGCGGAGAACGCGAAGGTGAACGCCTACTCCGCGCCGGACATGGTGCAGTGAAGCGCGACAGTGAAGCGCGACAAGGGCAAATGTTTCATCATCCACCCCAACAACGCCGTCATCCGCGGCATTACGTGGCAATGTGCCGCAAGGCCACCTCAATCTTTTTTCTCTAACAGCTTCGCCGCCCAGAGAGAAAAAGCTCGTCCGATCCGTCGCTTGCTGCAGTCGTATTTCCCACTTAGACACCAACCTCCTGTCACTTACCCTCCCCAATCTCTCCCCTTGACTTGACCTCAGAAGAAAGATTTTCGCTGGTTCTCTCTCGTTGCTATCTCCAACCCCTCCCCCTTTGATTCCGCAGCGTTTCTAGCTAGACGACGTGTGTTCCCTCAGGGGTGTTCTTCCCCTGCGACCCTCTTTATGGTGACCAGACCGACACTACATGATCCCAATGCTCAATGTGATCGTTTGGCTTGTTGTGTGGCCAATGTCGCCAGCTCCGTTCGCCCAGCAGCCTATTCGGAGATCTCTGGATGAAGTTCACGATCTTCTCCGAGGCAACCACCACCGGCACCGACGACGGGCTACCCGGCTCCACCCCACTATGGTGGACCCCCTGTGAAGCCTGTGAATCCTTTCATCCCATGACGACCACCTCCTCCTCCCCCCCGGCAAAGATGCCGCTGATCAGCCACCAGCACCGGCCACCAATACTGCTCATCCCAGCACTTCAACCTGAAGCCACGGAGGATCAGGACCAACATCCTTCAACCCAGGCCGCCATCAACATGGATTGATTGCTACGAGAAAGCTCCAGGACCTACATGACTCTCGAGCGCCCACTTCGACTGACGAGCCTGAGCACCTTGAAGAACCACCTGAGAGACCCTAGCCTCACCCTGTTTCACCTATTACCCTCTGCCGGCTCTTCCCAGGAAATCAAACATCTTTCCCACGCTGGAATCACATCTCATGTACTGTTCCCACCAACCCCGCGCGACCTGTCATGCGGTTTTTCCCCTGTCAGTTGCTACATCACCCCCTCGGTTTTTACTAGGCTCCAGTTCTCGCGGCCATTTATTTCCTGCGCCCGATCTCAACCCTGCCATGTCCGCTCCCTCCGATCCCGCATCGAGCCTACCTATACTCAAAGCCCTGACATATTGGCTCCACTACAACCACTTTGTGGCGCTTTTGAATGGCCCGCCCACCCAGACTTCGACCCAGCTCCCCAAACCACAGAGCCTACGCGCTCCAGCCCCCCGGCCACCACGTCTGCGCACCTCCCCGCCCAATACCGGCAGCTTCAAACCCGGCGCCTCGGTCAAGGACAAGATCTCGTCCACCACCTCCCGTGGACGACACCAGCTCGGACGAGATCCACGTTGCGCCCAACAACCTACATCGACCAATGTCAAAGCAACGACCTGATCGTCCGCGACCGCCAGTGATTTGATTACACTACGACGCTCTGCCTCATGTGAAATTCCGGGCGCCCAACCCACCACTCTCCCTCCGGCCCACGCCAACCAGCCCTATGATGTTGAGCATCCACGCCATACCCCCATGCCATACCGCAACCCGCAGATCAATGACCTACGTATGATGATGCCTACGGATCCCCCTGACGGCGTATCCCTGTGTACATGAAATTCGTGCTTTTTCCTGACGTCTCACCTTCGGTCAATGTTTCACTACTGCTCACACCAACCCATGCCTTGTCGGGAAATAACCAGCTTTGCCATAGCTGAGAATCGATTTTGGACTTTCGCATTGGAACAACGAGAAGGGCCAACTTCGGGAAACCGCGATTAAATCACGACCACATCACCCAAGAACTCCCCTCCTCACTTCAATATCACATCAACAACCGCAGGCGTCACGCCCGCCCGGAGCACTACACAGACTCTCTCGCACGAGTGGATGGCTACAGCGCCATGGAACCTTTCTATCCCAAAAGCAAGGCCAAAGGCAAAGGCCGCGTTGTCTCTTACACTTCCACCAGCATCCAGACCGATACTATCCTCATCATGGAGAACTCCGCCGCCCAGCCAGACACCACGGATCCCTCCAGCCAACAGGATCCGGGAACAAATCAGCCCGCCTGCCATGCACTCCCATCAGCCCCCGCCACCCAGCTACCAATGGACACATCGGCCCACAGGCCCAATACGGCCTTCTCCAACACCCCAAACATGCAACCACCGTCCACTGACCTCCACACGCGCCGACCCTACCAGGTCTCGAACGTTCCTGGTCTCGTACCACGTACCGCAACTATCCATATGCCCACTACCTTGCTGCAATCCTATGACACGCCGAACCCTACGGCCCATAGTGGCCACGCGGCCCCACCCTTGTCTCAAGCTCTCCAACACACGGGCCACCGGCATCACCTGCACCCGTACCACCCTTGACACCGCCCACCGCCACACTTCCGAGAGCCCCACAGCCATCAGCCGAACCGTCCCACGCTCCTCGCACCACCAGGGCCGCTGATTTTTTTTTGGTTGGCGCCCATCCTCACTGGCTGCGCCCATCCCACGCCCCATTCCAACACACAACCCCCCAGCGCCCACCCAGCGCCCAGCAACATACTCACGCCGTGTACACCCACACCCAAGTTCAGCAGACGACGCATCTCGCCGGACAGCAGCTACAACAACACATTCAGCACACGCAGCATACATATGGGCCACTCGTGGCGTTCGCCTCTTACCGAACTATGACCCGGACCATGATCCATGGCGAACACCTGACGAGCCATCTACATCCCAAGGGGCGCTCCCTTGGTCTACCCCACCCACCTACACGCAGGGGCCATCTGCGCCCACCTTAGCGCCAGAATGGACTCCGCAGGTCTCTTCGACATGGCCAGATTCCACATCTACGGGGCTTGGCAACGTCAGCGCGCAGGAATGTTCAGTGACTTGCCCGCGACTCAGCTCTTCCCGCAGCGCGCGCGAAAAAGGATGCTGCTGCACGAATCCCGGTGGTTTTTCCCCCGGCAACTTGGTTCCCCGTTCTCCTACCCACTCACTCTCTATCAGTAACATTATGACCCTCCACAAACTTTTTACCGACTCCCATCCAAATCCGCCACCGCTGGATGAAATCTTTCGAACCCCACCCGAATATCACCCTCCAGACCTTATCCCAGGATCCACGGTATACCCCTCATCGAGTTCACCTGCAACCCCAAATAGATTGATTCTCGATGGCTCAGAGCTTACCTGTGACACTACTAATCTCTTGCTTTTGATCTCACACCACAAGACGACGACATCAACGACATCACTACTATTGTGGCACTAGCGCTTGACGCATGCATTTTCCGAGCGTGCGCGATGTACTTTCAGCAAATACGGGGGGCCTGGATTGGATCCCAACTCTCACCTGCGCTTTGCAATGTCGCCATCGCCCTCATATCGAGCACTCCTGGCATCAACTATACATCATTCACAGACCACACTCAGATCTATTTCATCCACTACCGGTATTATGTGGACAACCTTCATCGCCTTCAACCAGGACTTTCTTTCCCAATGTTGCCATTCAGACCTTGATTCACCCTGGCTTCTTCAGCAACTCAGTGGAGCTGGAACCTGTGGGCGATATCCAACGAAGACAGTGATAGTTCGGTCGTGATATGACTCCGGACGCCGGAAGTCACGTGCCTGCAGTTTTTAATGCATTAAAGGGCTAATGCATCCTGTTGAAACATTCAAGTGAGCGGACTCTTCACTCCATGCTGTTGAATCAAGTCAAGTGCTACGTATTCATTTAAAGGGCTAATGCACCGAGAGACCACCACTGATTTCGCTCTTGCGAGCATCCACCTAAGTGTGTGCGTGTGTGAGTGTGTGAGTGAGAGAGAGAGAGAGTGAGTGAGTGAGTGAGTGAGTGAGAGAGTGTGAGAGTGAGAGAGAGAGAGAGTGAGAGAGAGTGAGAGAGCGTGAGAGAGCGAGAGAGCGAGGGAGGGAGATAGTGAGTGAGTGAGTGAGTGATTGAGTGAGTGAGTGAGAGAGTGAGAGAGTGAGTGAGTGAGTGAGTGAGTGAGTGAGATTGAGAGTGAAGGTGAGGGTGAGTGTGAATGTGAATGTGAGTGAGGAGTGACTCTGAGTGAGCCTGAGCGCTTTCCTGCCAGGAAACTCGCACTTCGAGGTTCACGAAAGCGCTGCGCCTGCCACGAAATCTGCACATCGAGACTCACGAAGTGCTTTGCCTGTCACGAACTCTGCGCGTCAAGGTTCACAAAGCGCTGTGCCTGTGCGAAATCTGCGCGTCGAGGTTGACAAAGTGCTGCGCCTGCGCCTCGAGGTTCACAAAGCGCTGCGCCTCTCACAAACTTTGCGCGTCGAGGTTCACGAAGTGCTGTGCCTGCCACGAAATCTGTGCGTCGAGGTTCACAAAGTGCTGCGCCTGCCACGACGTCTGCGCTTCGAAGTTCACAAAGCGCTGCGCCTGCCACTAAATCTTGGAGGCTCACAAAGCGCTGCGCCTCTCACGAAATCTGCGCTTCGAGAGTCACAAAGCGCTGCGCCTGCCACGAAATCGGCGCTTCGGTTCACGAAGTGCTGCACCTGCTTGGAAATCTGCACCTTCGAGCTTCACAAAGCGCTGCGCCTGCCAATAAATCTGCGCGTCGAAGTTCACAAAGCGCTACGCCTGTCACGAAATCTGCACTTGAGGTTCACAAAGTGCTGCGCCTGTCACGAAATACATGTTCAAGAGTCACGGTTCCCCCACCTGTCACGAAATCATGTCCAAAGTGTTGCGCCTGCAACGAAATCTGCGCTTCGAAGCAAAACCGCTCCGATCCCTTGCCTGTCACGAAAAGTCGACTTTGCGCCACCAAATCACGAGGTTTCCCTTGCGCTTGCCACGAAAAGTCACCACCATGTGCGAAAATGCGCACGGCGCCACAACGAGAGCGCAGTCGCTAGAAGCACCCACCGCGGGCCCCCCAGATTTCGCGAGCCTGGGCAGTGGAAGTGCACGTCGACGATTTCGAGAGGCTTGAGTGTACTGTAAATAGCAGTGAATTAGCCGTTGACGTCCGCGCGCCCCAGCGATCTAAGCGCAAAGAACCCCTAAGTGTGTCCACACTGCTTGCGAAAAATACATAAACAAACACTTCAAAAGTGCTTAGGTTTACAAGTAGTTCCCGGGCAAGCCGGTGGCGGAAGTTTCCAAAAGAATAAACCTATAGGAAATGTGCGTGTGGCAGGCTGATTCAGGCAACTGTCTCGCAGGAAAAAACGTTGTTCATGCATTTTGCAAAATACAGAGGAGAGACGACTCAACCGCGTAGTAAAGTTGTACTACAAAGTCGCCAGTTCTCAGCTTCCAGCCAACTTCCAGCTCCACGGCTTGCTCCGCGTACTAAAGTTGTACAACTCGCCAGTTCTCATCTTCCAGCTCCCTAGCTACTCCGCGTACTAAAGCTGTACTACAAAGTCGCCAGTTCTCATCTTCCAGCTCCCCAGATACTC